TTTTCTTTTTAGTTGAGACAGAGTCTCACTCTGTCACCCAGGTTGGAGTGCAGTGGTATGATCTTGGCTTACTGCAACCTCTGCCTCCCAGGTTGAAACAATTCTCCCACCTCAGCCTCCTGAGCAGCTGGGATTACAAGTGTCCGCCATCACACCCAGCTAATTTTTGTATTTTTAGTAGAGATGAGTTTTTGCCATGTTGGCCAGGCTGGTCTTGAACCCCTGACCTTAGGTGATCTGCCTGCCTTGGCTTTCCAAAGTGCTGGGATTACTGGTATGAGGTTTGTTTGGTGTGGCCTTAGGGTTGGCCCTAGGGTTGGTTGGCCTACTGGTATGGCCTTAGGGTTGTTTTCAAGCCCTTTGGAAGTTTAAGGCCCAGGATTTATGTGATTACTTTAGTATGTGACCCTTCTAATTGGGCAAAGCTTGGTTTTCCTAGTAAAGGTGCCCATTTCTTTATTCCAGGGTCTTGCTTCTACATGGAGCAGAGGAAATATGAATTAAAATGTGTTAGCATTGTTTGATGTGCTCTTTGAATAAACAAAGGGGTCTCTGCTTAAGCAGAGACCTCGGCCTTCCACCCAGACCTGTCCCCTATGAAGAGCAGACAGGTTGGCAGGTCAACCCTCGCCTGGCTTGCGTAGATGGCTGGTTACTGGGCCTCTGGGCATGGCTGATTGTGGTGTCAGGCGCCCCCTGGTGGATCTATGGTTGTTCTGCAGGTAAGCTTTGGAGTACATGTTGCCTGGATGTTCTCAATGGGGGAGTTCATGTGACGTGGCCCATCTGTGGGATTAGATAATCAAAAGACCCCAACCAGCTCACGGGACCTCACACACATCAGGCATGTAGGCACCTCCTTATAAACACCACAAAGTCGCTGGGCGCGGTGGCTCACGCCTGTAATCTCAGCACTTTGGGAGGCCGAGGCAAGCGGATCACCTGAGATCTGGAGTTTGAGACCAATCTTGCCAACATGGTGAAACCTCATTTTTAAAAATATATATTTTTAAAATAGAAAAAATTATTCTTTGCCCAGAAAGTCTTTGAGTCTAAAAAAGAAAAAAAAAAAAGTAGAAAAAAAATATGTATAAGAAATTAGCTGGGTGTGGTGGTGCACACATGTAGTCCTAGCTACTTGGGAGGCTGAGGCAGGAGAATCGCTTGGACCAGGGAGGCAGAGGTTGCAGTAAGCCAAGATCAAGCCACTGCACTCCCTGCTGGGCGTCAGAGTGAGACTCTGTAAAAAGAAAAAAAAAATACCCACAAAGTTCTCAGCGCCTGGAAGATGAGCCAGTCTGTAAAAGTCAAGGGAGCAGCAGTAGTCTTTCCCCATCAGGGTCTGCCAGGAAATTTTGAGGAGTGATGATAGTTTTTGAGAGGTGCCGCAGAGGTCATGTTTCTGTT